CCCCAAAACCCCAAAACCCCAAAACCCCACTATTTAAAAATAGAATTGATACCGTACAATAATTACTTAAACATGGAAACTCTGACTACCAACTATTTGTTAACTCTAAAGCCAAGGAAGTTGAATTTAAAGGTAAGCGCTCACAGTTGAGGATGTAAAGCCAAGAGGTGTGGTAACACACTTGCAGAACTTTCTTCTATAAATATAATTTTAAGAGACTTATCAACTTGAAATTATCCCAAATCACTGGAATAATGGGTTTAATTTTTGTATAGAAAAATTGAGCCAAATTAAAAATTCCGGCAATAAAGGTAAATATTGAAGCTAAAACTTTCGAAATTACATCACCAAATATTCAATTATTTCATTTTACCAACTAGAGTTAAATTCAGCTCACTTCTAGGTCATTTTATCATTCCGGAATTTTAGTGATTTTCTAGAATTTGAGTTAGCATATTCTGGTGACTGGAATTGCATTTTTATAAGAATCAGATTAAAGCTAATACAGATTAGTATAGGATTATACATTACAGATTTTACATATTTGACTTGTTGGTTGCCTCTTACAGTTCATTAAATTCATATTTATTCTAGAGAAAAATTGACACGCCAAGCAAACTCTTGAGAGTGAAAAGAAAGAGGAAGATGATCAGTCCAAGCCCTGTGGCGAATAGCTTCTTTAAGAAAAGAAAAGCATCTTAATATCTTCAAGAAGAATGAAAAGGTCAATGTAAGAGTTGCTTTCATATTATTACTTATTTTACGGATTAATTAGTCTCGCGACCTCTCCTGGCAATGATTCAGACTTTTAATATTCCCATAGGCCTAAAACCTCAAGAGTTAGAAGTGAAAGCATTCAAAGGGATACAAGATCACAAAGAGAGGCTATCGGTAGCCCTTCATCTAGAGTACAGTCCCCAAGACTACTCTCTCCCAACACCGATATCAGCCAGAACCAGCTTAGATATTTAACAATTATCCAGAAAGCCCACCGCCTCAGCAACCAGACTTCGACTGGGTTCAACTCTCCGACTGTGCTGAGCAGGATGCTGTCCAGGAACCAACATTTCAACCGAGCAGGTGAGTGTCTACTTCATAGAATCTCTACCTCGTCAACATTGCCATCTCTGACATGCTCTAGGTGCGAGAATGTCCAGCCCTGCAATGACTGCAGACACGACCCATGACTTTGCCTCGACAGCTGGACTCAAGGCTTTCTCACCAGAGAAGAGCCGTCGACCTGCTGACAAGAAAATATTTAATTTTAGAAAACAGGATTTGTAAGCAGAGTATTCTGGAAGAATAAGATTTCTGATTTCTGGTAATCATGCCAAAATTAGTATAGAATAAGTTAATGATTCAATTAAGATATTGATTTTGGGGTTTTGGGGTTTTGGGGTTTTGGGGTTTTGGGGTTTTGGGGTTTTGGG